AAAACTGAGAAGACAACTGTCTTTGTACACTTTTCCTCGTTCACAGACTGGCAGAACACTGTGACAAACATGCTTATTTGTTTAATAGAATTATATATTATATCTTCATATATATGTGTTCAAAATGTGCTTTTATGTTACAATTTAAAGTTATTGGAACAAATAGAGTTTATTATGAAGTAAGAAAGAAACATACATGAAACATAAAGTACATGGTAATGCCATCAGAGAAAATGCTGAAAAACTGCATGAAATAAAGCATGCAGTGTAGGCCACCTATTTCTGCATGCTTCCCACAAATGACAATCTGCTGTCCAGATTGTGACTCAGCATAACTTTATTACAACGGAGGCAAGCACACTGGAGAACAATATAAGCACCACCACAGTGTTCCAGTACCTGTAATGTTGGTAATTAAGTCAAAATTCGGTCACATGCCCATCCAAATCTAATAAAATGTATGCATGGGACCACACAAAGTCTGAATTAAATTTTTAACAATTTAATACTTTTCCACAGATTGTGGTAAAAAGTGCAAAATATGATGATAGATTGCAGTAACTTGAGGGCCCCATAGTGAATTCGGAGTTTAGTGTCTCCATCAGGTTGATGAGTTAGCAGTTCTTAATTCAGCACTAGAGGGCTACATGGTCCAGGACTGATGGCTGCATTAGTAGGGGTGGTTCTAGGAAGCAAACATCTGAGCCTCCATCAGGAATAAAATCCCATGTCTAGTTATGTGATAATGACATCCATCGAGATTTACTGTTGTATTAGGTTCCGACAAAGTTGTAAACTTTGAAGTAGCCAATGGCTGAAAACTGCTTTTAAGTATAATCAGTTATACGTTGATTTGTGCAGAAAAAATATTCTGCCCTTGAACTAAATATTTCAGCAGGTTGAGCTGAAGAAGGAAATTTGTAGGAGAGTATAATCTATGAAACTGCACAGTCTTGCATATCTTTGCAAAGGCACGTCTTAACCTGTAGTTCTGCCACAATCTCATATCACTCGTGAGTACTGTTGATTGTATAAAGACGATCAAATCAATGGAATGAGATGGGTGGAATTTGTGGTGCGGATGGGGGAGATAAAAAACATACAACTCAATTTTAAGGTCCCAGCACCACATTTCAGATCTATTCATGCTCGGGATGCGATATCAAGAAACCCAACCATTATTGCTGCACAATATACCAATGAAATGGCTTCATCCAGATTAAAACATGTCAAAATTCATAATCATTTTAATGTTTATCTTGTCATTGTCTAAATATCATATTGCATTGTATTAAATTTATGGAGTATGTGTATGATGTGATTCTTCTCAGGCTACCAGCCGTGTAAGGCGGTTTAAAGGAGGAAACAGGGTACCTTGAGGACGAGGACGAAGATGGTTCTCGAAACGTTGGAGGTGTTTTCTCCATTAAACCACCTTACACGGCTGGCAGCCTGAGAACAATTAAATATATTTAAGGAATACGTACCAGACGCTTGCATCTTCATAAGCCAAGCTGTATGTTCTGCGTTGCATGAGGATGGCGAAAACATTTGGCCATTCAAACTGTCTACATTCCCAGGAATTTAATTAAACGTACTTTTATTGTTTGGCTTTAGGTTTTTGTTGAGTGTGACGGAAAAAGAAAAAGATTATTTTTAGTTTCAACCACAACAATATGCTCGTCCACAAGCTAGAAGTAACGGAAATTAGACACAAATATAGAATGTCCCAATTATAATATGAAGTTTAACCTTGTATGTATACATATTTTTGGGATGCTTGTATAAAGATAGGAACGGAACTTTGTAGGCAGATTGTATGTACTCGTAATTTCGCTTCTTCTGGGCCCACAGTCCCTTCCAGGTATGTTATCTATGGCCCCTTCTTTCCACCGCCCCCCACCTTTCACTCTCCCCATCCCCACTTCTTTTAAATAAGCCAATAAGTTTATAGTGGTTTTTCAAGAGAAAGGCATCCTTTCACTTTGTTTCCTGCATTGATGTGGACAGGCAGGTGAGTATGTAGAAGTGTTTTCTTTCATAGATAAATGGGAGGCCAGTCATGCGTTTCAATAAATTATTTCTAACAATTTAAATTGTATTGAATTTTGTATTTATAGACTGGCCATTGGTTTTCTATTTCCGAATATTAATGAAGTCCTTCCTCAAAAGGCAATAGCAGATGGTAGCTAAGAAGCCAAAAAATTTTCTGACCCGTCTCTTATGGAACTAGAAGTTTCGTTCAATACACATACCACATCAAAACTGAACTCATTTGAATTTACATATGGTTTACTGAGCGGTAATAAAGTTTGTGAGAGGGCCGATGCAAGAAACCTTGCGGATATTTCTTCAGTCCTGTGTTTTGTGGCTCCATGGAGTTCATTACCTGTGCATAATGAAGAAAACCAAGACACAGAAGAAAATTTAAACTTCCTGAGAGAGGAGGGGAACAAAAAAATAATTTGTTCATAGTGTATATACTTTTTTTGGCATCAAAATATTAACTGGAAGTGCTGTCCTCCAACCATTGATAGAAAAATCTTGTAGCATTCATTAATAATTAATTTTCTGTTACTTCCTGAATGATAGTCCAGGATTTCATTTTCTAAGATCTGCTTACTCTGGATTTTCTGTGCAAGGTTTGCCAGAGATGAAAGTGACACACACAATCTTTAATGATTATTCAATAATGAACATATTTCATAGAGACTACACATAACTTCATGTGGTACAGCTTGTTGAATTACTCTGTGTAAAACAGACATAATCTCTTCTTAAGTCAACTTCTTTCATTCAGGAAACCAAGGAAAATTAAAATATTGGTATGTTATACAATTAAGGTGTAAATAACAGAAGATTTTATTTTGTTAACAGCAGAATCTACACACCATGCTACGTACTTCACTATCTCTGTTGTCAAACACCAGTGTAACAATGAATTTGCAATAAATGAACATCAACCGTGAAAGACAAAAGAACACATATGGGAAATGTGCGTGTTTCATTGGAGAATATATTTCTCATTTCCAGAATGAATGCCAGTAAACAGCTCATCATATCCTGATTAGAATGATTATCTGGTGACAAAGGCATAAATTTCTTTTGAGGGCTTTTAAGAGGCTGATCACACTCCAGAAATTAGTTGCTTCTTGATTACCAAGTACAGATTATTTCTAATCTATGTAGAATACCTGTGCTTGTTGTGGTGCCACATCATTGGGTCTGTGCTTGTTTTTCATGTACTTTACTGTCACAAACAGCCTTAATGTGAAGTAATAGACCAACTCGATGAAGCTGAGTAGACTTGCACCAACGAACAAACCAGTGGCTCCACCCATTGATACTGCAAAATTATTTTTCATGTTATCTTCAGACTTGGAAGTGATACTTTTTACACAGTTAGTCTAATTACTGTGTTCAGTTTTACATAAATATCAATTTCTTCACATCTTGTGTTGATAACATTTTATTAATTTTAACAGTCATATTCCTCTTTTAACACAGTCGGCTGAGAAACATTTTCTAAAACATATTTCTTTGTGAAAGTTACAAGTTAACTAAAACCCACTAATATAAGAGAATAGAGAAAAAGGGAAAGAAAATAAATAATGTGATTAAGATGGAAGTGTTTCAGCTATTCAAATCGTAAATTTTGAGCATAATTTTATAGGTGATACATCCATCATTCAGACAATGAATCATTATAATAAATATCATATAACTATATTTTGGCTGAGAGGGTGATCTTGTGTTTGAACTGTTTGACTCAAAGTAATCTTGAATCACATTTTCCAAGAAATGAAAAAGAGAACATTTAATTGAATAATTTATTCACACTTCTTTCAGTCTCACAGATTTAGAACAAGGAAATACAATCTTCTTAAGGTGAAATATGATCTGGAAACAGGGAAACTTAATTACTTAGTGTTAGGCAGATTAATTGAAAATCTTGTTCCCAAGCTCAAAAACACCCAATATTTTATGTGGCTCTCACCTGAAAGTTGAAAGCTGACGTTATACCGAACTCAAAATGTTTATCAGGACTCAAGATCAAAGGCAATTCATTATTTTACTATCATTAGTTTTTTCTGAGGAATACTACTATAACCTCATGAAAGAGGGAAAATGATACACCAGTATCAAAATATCAATACATCTTGCCCATCCCCACTTCCAAATGCCAAATGTGAAGGGGATGTATGCATCAAATCGCAACACTATACTAAACAAATTCAAGTGATGGCTTGATGGTGCATGTCCCTTGCTGACAAACAGGCAGCACACCCCTGGTTCAGGGGATTTACATAAAGCAGTATGCTAACAGCAATGAATTATGCACACATAAATGTCATTCTGGACGCCATAGCTGCATTACAATAGGCAGACCAACAAAAAGCACATTCTGTTTTAAGTCCCGACTTCTTTTCCAAGATGGTGTGTCCAATACAGAAACTGTTTTAATAATGAAAAGAATCAGAATATGAATCATGCTGGTTTATAAATAGAACAGGCAGTATAAATGTCTGCAGGCGAAGTCAGAGGTCCTATCCGATGCTTGGTAAAATCCATAAATGCTAACTGCATGCAAGAAAGCAAAGGTCCTTATAGAAACCTACTTTTAGAATGAACAGAGAGAGTAAGGATGATGTCAATATTCATGCTTTATGCACCAAATTAGATTTTAACAACACAGTCTGATGTTTATCATTTCAACTAAAAACTTACCAACTAGGTCAAGCTTTCCTCTGACAACTGTCCTCTTAAACAATTCTGTGGGTAGGTGATCCAGTATTACCTTCAGCTCAGATTTACCACTTGGACTCCTGCGCAGTAACACAGTTACATTTCAGAAAATAATATTTCATGAAAATCTGCTCCATGCAGTTTGCCGTATAATGTCTTATGAATGTTTATCTAAAAGAATGCTGTAACTCATATTCAAAAATTAAATACACAGTCATTTGTCAAACATTTATTGATTTAATTTGTTTTATTTATTGATATAATCAGCTGCATGAATTATTTGACATCAGGTGATGGGATGGAGGTCATAAACACATCCAATTTCTGAAACGTTGTATTCTTATCAGAATACTAGATGGTGGAAAAAGTCCAGATATCCAGTAATAGTAATATATAAGAGAGGTTACTGTTATCAGCTATGTCCACATACTAGTACTTTATCTCTGAAACCATTTAATGGGTTTCAATTCAATTTTATATTAGAGGCCTACATTAAGTCCTGCCTGGATCATTTACATTCAGTTTGTATCAGTCAAATATAAACCTGAAGATGGCTGTCTTCTGGGTTGTTGTGCCATGTAGTCTGGTAGATGTTTACCGATGTTTTAGAGGTCCTTGCTGCCTCCATCATCAAGATGATGAGGGCAGCAAGGACCTCTGAAACGTTGGTACACCTCTAACAGCTTACATGGCACAACAACCCAGATGTCGGCCATCTTCAGACTCACCACTGTGAAAACTTCAAATCCTAAACTCATTTATACAAAACCCTTAAATAAAATTTCAAAAGTTTTCTCATAAATGGATCATTATATAAAGATCTGCATATGAGATGAAGTACAGGTTTCATCAAGGTCTACAACATTCTAAACATTTCCCAAAACTGAATATTTAATAAAATATAAGAAAAATATAATATGATTATCCTGGGAACAACACTTTTGTTTAAGGTCAATGGGATAAGCTGATGTGAAGAAATTCACTGTGAAAAAAATAAGCATACTCCAATGGAGTATGCTTATACCTTTCTACTTCTAATACTCACAACTGATGCATTTCTCGAACCCATCGAACATATTCTATAGTCATGCTCTCACAACCATCCACACAATGGCAATAGTATCCCACTGCAGTTGAGTTTTCTGATACCTTTTGTTGAATAAAAGTATTGATATGTCCCTCCAGACAAAATAGACCATTTATGTCACAGTACAGCTTTGGATCTGAAAGAAATTTAAAAACACAGTAAGTACACTAATCCACAGTTACTGTGATTGATTATAGAGGTTTGAAGAATTATATCATATATAACCAAATAATGACTAACTTAAGAGTGTAGTTTGCAGTGAAACTTAGTTTTTTATATATGCCTTCTCAAAGACCAGCTCCATGGAGGAGTTACAATAATTCAAATTTATTTATTTTTGCATACAACTTCCATATGCCAGTTGCTCCTCATATTTTTTTTACAAAGTTTACATAAGATGCAAGTAGAATATTACTGTGTAATATGTGTGTAGTTACAACCATTAGAAATTAAAATGTGTCTGATATAAGAAATTTTATTAGCCAATTTTAAGAAAAATCTTGACAAGCAACAGCCTCTTTAGCTAGTCTGAAATAACTAAATATCAGGATCAATATAGGATGAAAATCTCGAAGAACACATCTGAACAATGCAGTATGCCTTCCCATTCTAGTTTCCATATGAAAGAACAACTCAGAAGAAAGTCCCTGAAACCTACCTCCATTGGGCATGTAGTAACTGGTGCAATTGCACAGCTGAAGTTGCAGATTCCTGCGGCAGTTCACTAGGCAGGCAGAAACTGAGTACACCGGATAAATATTGATGTAATTCTCATTAGGAAAGCGACAACTGCGTTTGGGAATATCTACATCATGCACTTCTTCTTGATTTGAGATTCTGTTTATTTTAATGTAGAATTCTTCTGCAAATCCATATACCGTATTAATTTTGTCAGTTTCTTGTATACTGAAGTGAGGAACATCTTCTTCTGACAGCACATACACCTGTCAGAGAATTCAACTTCTGTTAAGCAAAATAATATTGATGAATTATAAATACTGCAAAAGGTCAGATATGACAAAAAAACAGCAAACACTGTGAGTAATATCTTATGTGTTTGTTTCTAGTGAAATACAAAAGCACCTACAGAGTGATACTTTGCACACTACTTTTTATTATCCCATGTATAGTAGTGATCTGTCCTAATAAATTAGTAACAAAAATATTTAGTTGTATAAGTGGCAATACTGATAACAATTATAGTATAATTTGTTGGTTATGGGTACAACTTTCATTGTGTCTCCTCTCACAGTTTGGTATTTGAGATGAAATCAGTTGTTCGAATCTGACTTCCCTTGAAATTGTTACCATCTTCTCTTTAGATGACATAGCAAAAGTATAACTTTTTTTTAAATGAAAGAACTGTAGTCATCCTGCCCCAATGTAATTCTGCGCTTTCATAAGAACCAGCATGGAATAAATTCCAACAAACAAAACATTGGGAAAAAGTACTGCAGAGCCAGGGCAAGTTTGTTATGTAACTTTACATTGCAAAGTTTATGTAATTTAACATGTTTATCTATTAAAATTCACACATAACCTACCCATGTTGGGCATTAGAAGCTGGTGTAGTAACAGACAGGAGAACAGAATGGGGACAAGAAAATTCCATAAGGCAGAGTTTTCTTGTGAAGGTAATGGCTGCTCAGCTCGCTGAAAACCTCCTTGCCTTTTATGGAACACTAAAGTTTATTACCATGTTCACAGCAGCTCCTCCCTGATCCCTATCTTGATACAGATGACTCCAGCCGACATACCATTTCTGATACATCTTAGCATAATATTCCTATACATGCCTATACCTTGCTACCTTTCCAAATGTTTGTATCTATTTCTCATCTCAACCAATTAACAGTAATGGAAATAAGAACGAGGAAATACATATAGAGACTGTAAGGATGAAAATGAGAAAATTATGGAAGTACAGGAAAGACATGATATACCTACCGTGGCATGTGTATTGAACTGTAGATATATGAAACCAGGTCCAGTGCTTTGGTTAGATATCATTTCAAAGTGTCTCTGTATCCTGAAATAAACAAACATTATACTCTTCATACCCACTGAAATAACAGCAGATAACATAATTTCTACTTATAGACATACATGAAAGAGAACAGCTTTGACTTTAGGGTAAGCACCATCTAACTTCTCAATATAATTAACTAAAAGAACCAATCCCATGGGAGGAGCCCTTGAGAAGCAGTTACCCAGCAAATCAATAAATTCCCTGCCTTCTGTGGAACCCAAAGGTTCATTACTGTGTTCTCAATACTACACCAATGGCCACTATCTTAAGCCAGATGAATCCATTCCATATCCTCAAACCCAATTCTTTTTATCCATTTAACATTATCCTTCTACCTAAACTTTGGTCTCTCAAGTTGTCTTTTCCCTTCAGGTATTTCAACTGAAACTTTGTATGCATTTCTCATTGCCCCCATGCATGCCACATGCCCATCTGACGGTAGTTCAGGTTATCAAGAAATTTCTTTCTTATAAATAACAGAGAGAACCTGAAGCTTTATTACCATGCCACTGGATCTTATCTAGAGGCAGCTTAATCCAATCAACAAACATTCTGTTTCTTTCAGATTTATTTTAATGTTATCTGCCCATGGTCTATTCCATTAAAATTTCTAGAATAAAACTCTGTATCTCATCTGCTCATGCATGCTGTATACTCTGCCCACCTCAGGGTCCTCTGATTACCTTACTAATATTTAGTGAACAGTACCAATTAGGAAGCTCATTTTACAGTTTTCTCTATCCTCCTGTTACTTCCTGTCTCTCAGAACCAAAACTGCTAATGAAGGTTTTGCAAGGCACACAAGTGGACAAGTGATCATTAGCAAGGAATGACAAACCCAAATGTGTTTAACTATATTAAAAGTATAAATTCCAAGACAAATACAAGCAGTTTTATAAGTAAAATTTCTGAAGTTATAATAATTTCTAGCTGCTGAGTTTATATAGTAAGCACAGTCTCTCTGTAATAAATTCTGCAGGTAAGCTAAATATTATTTTCAGTTGGATGTCACACTGTTATATGGAACATAGTGAATTGTATAGACCAGCATTTCTCAACCTATGGTAGGCGTACCACTTGTGGTACATGAACTAAGTAAGAAAATCTAAAGATAATATTAACACAAATAAGTTTTCCCTGAATGCATTTGGTTGGTGGTACATTTAATGTGTTAAATTATAATTAGTGGTATGCCAGTGAAAAAGGGTGAGAACCTCTGCTACAGACTATCTAATATAACTATCTTTTCATGTCAATTCATCCAATAAAACCCAATATGTTTCAACCATTAACAGTGTGTGATTCACAAGCTAAATATTATCTTTATTTTATCACAAATGAGCATATCTACCATGTCAGTTGATGATAAGATTAAAGGGGCCTGTTTAAAAATGAGTTTGTGACTCGCCATACATTTTATTTGTAGTCTGTAATGTACCTGGGTGATCTATGTCATTCTGTAATACCCTGCAATGCTGTTGACAGAGGAGTTGTAATCTTTTCCAAACAGGCCATAATCTCACTCTCACCATGCTGCCATTGAAGGTGTAAATTTAAAAAGCAAGTACTATTCTGTAATATTCTTATGAAATTTCATGGAGATCCATCAACATATTAGGAGAGCAGTCACATACATATAAATAATACAATAAACCTAACTTTCCTTTGAAAGGAAAATATACTGAAACTATCATGTAATACTGTGGAGACGATACCTGGTATTAAGATTGTTAATGGCATAACACATTCCATATTCAGTTTCCAGTGGCAGGAAATACTTGCAGCAGTCAAATGGCTTGTCATTCCATCTACAGAAATGGAACAAGTCTGCGCAGTTCATTCGGAACTGAAACATAAAAAATAGTGAAAGAACTGGGCTTAAAGTACACATATATGCTCTAAGACAACAATGATTTAAAATCATACATTTACATATATTTCTATGATTATGAATAATGTACATTCAGTTTGGTGGATTCAGAACTGTTTAACACATGTGTCTACATAGTCATTCACATTACTGGCAAATATAATTTTATTTATTTATGTAAATTAGAGACCATAATGAATATAAAACCCAAATCATTCTTAACCTTTTTAAAAATACTGAATCACTTGGTGTAAGATTTTGAAATACATGATTCATTTTTCAAAATATAAATACAGAATTTATCATCCTTATGTTCTTTTTTCTCTCTGATACATGCTTTTCAAGTTAATTTCCTTATGAACATATCTTTGGTGTTTTATAAGAAAGGCGTAACGAAGACCCTTGAAACTGACAACTACGATTGATTTAGAAAACTGTGATGTCACCTGACAGTGAGAATATTGTTGGCCAGACCCTGATCAGGAAGCTTCAACTGGCAGATACTTGACACAAGTTAGTATACACATCTAGCAATATGTCACTTGATTAACTAAGATTTACTAGAGCATAACAACAATAACAATAAAACTTACTTAACTTACCAAGTTAGCAATTTCACTATAGTTGCCTGTGGGACATCCAGTTTCAGTACCATATTTATTGGCAGGGATACAGGCCTTAAGTAGGTTATATGAAGAGCCTTCATAAAAAGCTAGCTCACCAAAGACTTCTTCTATATCGAACCTCCGATCATATAGTGGATCATCTTCATCATAAATGTTAGAAAATAACCTGTGAATACACACACTTCAATTGATTTTAATATGCATAACACCATTTAAAACAAATTATTATGTAAACTGTGTGAGATTCTTTAGCTGTTTGCTCTAAAGCAGGGTTTTGTACTCTTCACCAAATATTAGTAGAGTGGTCAACTCAAGGAGGTTGAAATGGACAAGGCAGGGTAGCTGTCAGTATAGTGACTGACTATGTACTGGATGACCAGGGTTTAATCCCTAACTGGGGCAGAGAATGTTTCCTCTGGCCTCTGTGTCCAGACTGGCTCTGAGGCCCACCCAGCCTCGAGTCCAGTGGGCACCAAGGCCCTTTCCTGAGGGTAAAGTGCAGTAGCTATACCACCTCTCCCCCCAAGTGTCTGCATGGCATATAGCAGAACAACTCTTTTTTAGGCACGGATGAGAGGATAATGTTAAAATGGATATTAAATAAATAGGGTGTGGAATGGATTCACCTGCTCAGAATATGGAGCAGTGGTGGACTGCTGTGAGCACGCTAATGAACTTTTGGGTTCCATAAGAATGAATATTTTCTTGACCAGCTGAGTGACAATTAGCTTCTGAAGAAGGCTCCATGGAGTTTGTAGGTTAAATATTAAGGGATTACTTGCTTTTCAGTATGAGCAGCAACGATGTTTACGTTCAGAACTTCGCAGACCACAACAGAAGGGAACTGAGTGTTCCATTCAAGATATGTAGTCTCGACACCAAAGTTGATTGGGTTGTTCTGGAAAGTGGTCCAAGATTGTCTGATGAGGTACAGTGAGCCATACCAAGACAACAGAACACAGACCAGCCAAAATAACCTGCAACAAGGATGGTACATTTTAATATGTTGGTGCATGAAGTTGTGTAATCATTGAAGTACACACAGTTTCTTTCTTCATTCATTTAAAGACACTACTTCATCTGCAAAGTTTATACATCATCAAATTATAAATTACAGGACGATTATGTATAGTGATTTAAAGAATGGGGATGGAATTGTTGGGCACTGTAGTAAGGTGCTATAGGGACTGCACAATACCACAAATAACCACTGTATTTAACTTGAATGAGCAACAAGTAGAAAACACGTTTAAACATCGTTCCCTTGTTTCTGTTCTGACCTACGTAATACAAGTTCCTTACACAGACACATAAAAAGAACACAAAGTTGTAATGCAAGTTAAAGGTGGGAGAAAAAAGAGAACATATTTAAATCATAATTTATCACTTGCAACTTCCAAAAGTGGACTAATTATTCAATACTACCTATACATCAAACAAAGTGAACTAAACTTAATTAACTTAACTTAAACCTTTTTAATAACATTCACGCCATACCACATAGCTGCACAGCAATTGCACTTATTGATTATTCTGAAATTTGTTTGCATTTTCTACACAACAAATGGTCAGTTGCCAAAGCTCAATTTGTGTGAATAGAGTACAAGAAAACAATGGTAAAGCTGGCTTTAAGGTATAAGAAGCCTTGGTGGAAGATTATAGAAAAGCAAGGATACCTATTTCAGATCATATACATTTATCTCTTTAGTGACAGAGACAAAGGACCGATGGAAAGACGAACCAAAATAGGGTATGAAGGTCAATCCCCGAGACATTAACAGCTACTCAGACAATCAAGAAATTTCCCACATTTTATGGAATCCAAAGGTTCATTACTGTGTTCAAAACAGACCACTATTCTGTGCCAGGTTAACCGACATCACATCAAATTTGTTTAGGGCTCATTTTAAAAATGCCCCACATGCGTGCTACATACCCTGCCCACCTCAGTTTATGATCACCCTAATAATATCTGAAAGGAGGGTACAAATTAGGAAGCTCACACGCAATTTTCTCCAAACTCCTATTTCTTCTTCCTCCTTATTTACATATATTCTTCTCAACGTTTCGTTCTTGAGCACACACTACCCATTTTCTGCCCTTAATGCCAGAAAGTAATTCACGCCCCCGCAAAATAACAGGCAAAACTTAACGTTTTATATATTTCAAACGTTGCATCTGCGGACAGAAGACGATCAGACAAAAAATTCTTAAGTGAACTGTATCGAGCATTTCCCGAATTGAATCTGCTTAATTTATTCAAGAATGCAATTTTAAATCGGTACAGAAATCTGTCCACGTCCGAAAGAACTATATGAAATAAGAAAGGCATGGCGTGACTTTACATGGATATGACGCCTCGAGGACAGAAATTATAGAAACAATATGTAAAAATAATATCGAATAATTCCGTCCCTTGTACCTGTTTGCGTGTCTACTCTCCGGACTGCCTGTTGGTTTGATAACTGTCATGCAACAGGAAGTAAACAATTATAATGTGCTCAATCCTGACAACTGGTTAGACACAAGCTCCCAAACCACACGCAATCTGTTTTAGTCTGTTGAAATTTAACAGAAAATCTGAACCATAAAATTAGAGACATCAATTTATTACGACATGTACCAACATTTTTGTGCTACAAATTATTTTAATTTCTGGAAACTCTGTGATAAACGAAGCATTTCTGATCGTTTCTACGACGCGTCAGGTAGAACGTACAGGGTGAGGCAGTCATCAGTCTACATGTATGCACACATATCCCACTCATCCTTACAACTGGATCCTATGAATTTCAGCACTTTCGTCTCAAAACAAGTTTTTTGTAAAGATATTTCTAACCATATTCTGCGTACTACTGCAAGATTAATTTTTCTTCGTGGAAAAGGCCCCTGTTCCGTTTGCTCTCCAATTTACTGTTTAGAAGACAGAATTCTTGTGAAGATATTTCATACAACCTGCATCTAGAATTATGGATCCGATAACAACCTTTCCGTCAAACAAATAATAAAACATAGGTACTTCGCTTTCTCTGAGAATCACGGTTTAGGAGATAACAAAATTCTCTCGCACACACTTTTTGAACTTTATTTTCCTTTCAGACTCTTCGATTAGCAAGCAAGACAAATAAAAACCTGACATCCATTTTGTAGATGTACTATAATAATTAACACTGAAATTCTTCTGTTAAAACGTATTAGCTAAACTAAACTAAACATATCCTTTCAAATCGCATTCAGAAAGCACGTCGAACACATTTGTAAATATAATTTTTCAGACACTTTCTACATATGACATTTACTAATTGTTTTGAAGAGTAGCTTACTTGCTAAAAGAAACACAATTTGTTCTTAATATGCACGTTTCCCAAGCAGCGTTTACTTTTACAGATGTTGCAAATGTCAAACAATTTGGAGGTATCGTCGTAGGATTATTTGACACTATTTTATGAAAATAATCCTACGTGTACTACAAAATATAATTTAAATATGCGCAGTTAATCACCTTTCTACCCAAGTTCTTTCCTTTTGGGCAATGAATCGCAGACCATGAAATGTTGTGTTCACCAAATATTCTTTCAATGCATTTCTGAACATTATGAGACACGTAGCCCCATTTATCCACACAGAAACAGAGGCACTAAACAAGTTCATGTAGCAATTGAATCAAATATTATATATCCAAAGTGACAATAATCAGGGCTTTCACATATGGTAACTGTAAAAACCGCCTAAATTCCAAGTGTATTTTTATACAAGGAAAGAATGAAACTGACCCAGAGATTTTATTAACTCAAAAGTTGTGTGATTTTGTCCTTGAGGGTACGACAGTAAACACTCACACCACAACGAAAAGGGGGCAGCTTTCTATATTGTAAACTTATGTGCAGCTTTTAAAACTCTGAAAATATTTTCAAAGAAGGAGATGGTATACTTTTGCAGTCGAACTTGGTAAATTATTCTGTAACATCACGCGATATAAGATGAACCAGACTGATAAATCACTGAGCTGTAAAACCTGCATGAAGAAAATTTGTTACACTGTCACGTAAAGAACGACGCAAACGCTACGAAATTTTCTAGCAGAATGAAAGTAGCCTATATCGATATTATAATTTAATATCAGAGTGTTTAATGGAAACAGAATATTTAAATCGGTCAGCTCTGAAGTTAAAATAAGCGTGGACATTTTCCACATTATAAACAGGGACCGCGACTAAATTACTTTTAAACAGTTTTCGACGTGTAATATAAAAGAGTTAAAGCTGGTTTTGTGTATCTGTCATAACGTTATTCCTCACCTCCCTTTTCTTTACCCATTTCGTACCTCTAGCCTTTCCAAATCCTTGTAAACATTTAAAGATATGACGCAAACACACTTAATAAAAAAAAACTACCAAGTACGCACTCCGCAATACAAGAGTTTATATTTAGAAAGTGTGGCTCATCAGCTGTCATAGAACAACGAGGAATATAACTACATATTACGTTAATTAATAATTTTCCCCGGGCTGCGAGAAAATTTTAATACCGAGCACAAAAAAAAAATCCATCCACAAACATCAAAGTGGGTTTTATAATACCGATGTGTCAGGGATTAAAATTAATAAACAGCTGCATCTTCATACTGCCACTGTGAGAACCGAAACTCTGAATATCTACATGGGATAAACTAAATTTTTGCATTGGTAGTTTCTGAGAATGAGATGGGCAGGGCATGTAGCGCGCATGGATAGGACAAGAGATGTGCACCGGGTATTGGTTGGGAAGCCTGAGGGGAAGAGACCGCTGGGGAGACCTAGACGTAGATGGAAGGATAATGTCAGGCAGGATCTGTGGGAGATAGGAGTTGAAGGCAGCTGGATTTTGTTGGCCCAGGGCAGGGTCCGGAGGAGGGCTTTGGTTAATTCGGTGATGAATCTTCGGGTTCGGTAAGCCATCTAGTTAGTTAGTTTCTGAGCTGCAGCGCATAGTTTACCACCTCTGCATTAGTGTGATAAGGAACAGGACACTGAACCAACATCCAACAAAAAACAATGAAGACAAGGCCCAACAGCACACGAAAGATAATACCTTCTATCATTGTCACTAGTAGGCCTATACAAACGAAAATAACATAGGATATCCACAATATTAAATTTGTTTCACTAAATACACATGATTTAAAATCATGGAAAATTAAACATATATTTTACTTTTACATATTCTACTGTCTTAACATGTTGCCTGTACTGTATTTCTCAACTCTGAGCTTTATCAAACTGGCATGAAGGCCTACTCTGTGTCCTATGCAGAAAGAGAGTCAATAAATGAACGATAACACAGCTATCAACCTTTCTCCCTTATCTGTTTCCCACCTGCCAACTGACAATGTATTCCCTACGTACAGTTCATATTTAAGTCAACATGATATTGCAGGTAAATAATTTACTTATACATATTGATAAACCCAAGACAGACTTGTTCGAGATTGATCTACTGTATACTGTGCACGCAGTCTACATGAAAGGATGTGTCTAGCAGAAATGTGTTGAAGTGTTAAGATGGAAAGGGGAAAGTGAATACATTCCACAGAGTGTAATATAGAAATAAAACATCAGACTCATATCAACTAGTGTGCATGTAAATTAATGTCTGTCTGTTTTTTTCACTATCCTGAACAATTAAATGTAATGCATGAGTTCAGATCTAAAATTATCACTGAAATGTTAGTAATATTACTAAATGTTCCTTAGCTTTTAAGGCTGCAACATAACCAAAGACTTACAAATAGTAATACACCACCACTGGAGCAATCGTATTATCACATTATTCCTTAAAATCATTACATGATACTATAATCAACTGATTACAATTTTTATTTGCAGAAATTCACCATTAGTTAATATAGCTGAACATACACGCAGACATGGAAGAAACTGGAGCCTGAATATCACAATTAAAATCATAAAGTTTACAAAAATCAACCTAGAAGTTTGCCAATATGGAGGACTGTACAACTCCCAAAGACCCTGAATCAACAGAACAAGATCCGCAGAAACAGCTACTCAAAGCACTAATAGCTCAGAATCTTACCAAGTTCTGTGAACTATTAAGGAATCCTAAAGTCAACCCCGTTCACAAATATGGACGACCATACTGGTCCACATGTCTTGAAATTGCATGTTGGAGTGAAGGCTGTGAAGAGTTTGTTAGGGCCTTACTTCAAGAAGGTGTCAACCCCAACATAAATACTACTGTTCCTGAACCAATACATTACGCAGCTTCCAAAGGCAATTACAACACCTTGAAGGTTCTTCTCTGGGACAAACGAACCAAAGTGAATGCTGTCGACAGTTCTGGGAGGACAGCTCTTCACCTTGCTGCCAACAATTTTGGATGTGGAGAAGATGCAGATAGGTAGGAAAAAGTATGTCATATTTGAGGTTCTCATGACAGTGACGATGACAACATTGTTCTTCTGGATTGTGATACTGTTTCAGAGAAACGTTGGTATCTACCTGATTCCACAAGGTATCACAATTCAGAACATCATCAAGTATAAAATCATCTGTTTCAATAAGGCGTTTGAGCTGTTTCATTCACTTAGTTATCTTGATATCTATTTTAAACAACTTTCCCATTAAACCTATCTATATTGTTACACACAATTTTATGTATCTGCATACATATATAATGTAATTATCTCACTAATTTATTTATTTGTAATTATTTTAATGATGCTTTAAGTACCTCAGACTGTACAGCATCAGTGAGAGAATAATAGTGGATAATGAATTGGGAAGGATGTGGAAGGAAACTATTGTGGCCTAATTTAAGGTACTGTCCTGGCATTTTCCTGGTGGGACTGAGGAAAACCACAAAAACCTCAGTCATGCTAGCCAGTCTCCAGGTCAAGAATTGAGACAAGGACCTCCCAAATACACAACAAGAGTTCTAACCACTTGAACACAACATTCAGCAAGTATCAAACTAAAGCAGGTAGGATCATGACTGGTGAGCCAGGACAGAAGTGGGAAAAGAGGTCTGCTATCAGAACATCCATCTGCAGGGATGAAGGAAAACTGGACTATACAGCATCACTCTGGCACCAACTGTCCAGATCACAGAACTGTTCAAGGATCTTCATACGTAAGCTGGGAAAATGCCTTAAGACAAGGCTATAAACACTTCCACTTATCACCAATTCAAACCTTCCTATTCTAGTCACATAAAGTCAGTGTAAAAGAACTCTGTGGCCAAATGCAATAATATTAAATTTTTTTAAACAGTAATCCACTCATTGGTCATGTAAGAATTAGTGTCTGATCTGAATTAAGGAAACAACGAATAATTACTATGCAACCTCAGACTTAATCTAGAAACAAGATTAAATGATAATACAATTTGTTTCCTAGGTATGAACGCTGCATTGCATTGCTGATCTGCTCAGACATAGATGTGAACCATTCTAACAAGAAAGGCTACACTGCTCTACATGAAGCTGTATATTATGGAGGTCGGGAGGCAGTGTTAGCTATGCTCAAACATGGCTCACACATATTAGATTTGGATTCCTCACATGGAGTTGGGCGATCAGCTCGTGACATCATTACTGAACATTACCCTGACTTGAAAAGTATTCTCCCATCGCCAAGGATTGAACAAATTCATTCACACCCTCACATGCAACTTCTAACTGCTTTTCAACATAAGCAACTCAACCTCTTCTGTGACCTTCTACGCCAAGTAAATGTATATGGTAACGCTTGTCTCAATCCCAACTTCTGGTACAGCAAACCCTATAATTCTACATGTCTTGAAATGGCATGTAAGGAAACTGGTTGTGAGGAGTTTGTACTAGCACTGCTTTTAGCTGGAGCAGATGTAAATACAGTGAACATAATCACACGCAAATCACCTCTTCATTTAACTGCTGAAGCAGGAAATTACGAAGCAATGAAGATAATACTGAAAGACAGAAGAACAAATGTAAACATGGTGGATGATTCTGGGCAAACTGCTCTACACATTGTTGTGGAACAATACAGAGAAAATGATGGTGATGCCCGAAGACTGTTGGAATGTATTTCTGTTTTACTAAAACACAAAGGCACTGATGTGAACAGAACTGACAAGAATGGCTGTACTGCTTTTCACTTAGCAGCTCTCAGAAATAATACTAAGGTAGTACAGCTGATCCTAGAACATGATGACCTTGAACTTGACCTGGACACTTCACAGGGACCTGGACAGAAGACAACTCGTGACATCATCACAGAAAATTTTTCAGAAATCAAGAGACTTCTTCCTCAGAAGAGTGTTGTAGGAAACCATGAATGTTCACTGAAGGAAACTCTGTTCCAGCATTTATATAGGTGGGAAAGCCAAGAGTTTGTAAGTATCTTCAAAAGAAATTTGAATAAATATCCCACCCATGCAGTACAAGAACTTAATGATGGATGTTATACATGTTTACAATATGCCAGCAATTATGGTTTACATGATGTAGTTAAAGTGTTATTGGAGTATGAAGCAGACCCAAATGCAACTACTGACTATGATAAAAGACCACCAGTTGTTCTTGCATGCTTAAGACAGAACCAAGACATTTTAAAATTTTTCCTTGATTTGCCACCTGAATCAAACTTTAACATTAATGCTACAGATGCAAAAGGAAATACAGCACTCCATTATGCAGCTCAAAATGGAGATCTTAATTCTGTTATAGCATTATTAAGTCATGGTGCAGACATTAAAATCAGGAACATTTTTAACTGGCCACCATTATCTGCACCAGCTGTACATACTATGCTTGACCACTCCCTGCAGACCAATCGCAATTTCCCAAATGATGAAGCCTATGAGATGATATTTAACTATCGCTTCCTATTAGCACATGTCGGGCAGGAGAATGTGGGACAGACAACATCAAAGAAGGATGCAATACCTGTGGTAAAGAATCTGGATGAAGAATCATTTGAAGGCAAGCATAAAGTGAAAGCACTTACTCCTGAAATGGATTTGCTCTTTTATCTAAGTCAATCACAAGAATACAAGCACTTACTGACACATCCAATTATCACCAGCTTTTTACATTTAAAATGGTTAAGGATAAGATCATCATACTTCATAAATCTTGTCTTGTACATTCTATTTTTAGTATTACTTAACACATACATCTTCATGGATTATGGATTACCAGAACCACATTCCACATTTATGAATGATTCAATGCAGAACACCTCAAATGGAACAAGTAGACCTAGTTCAGAAGACAAACATCAAGAAACACATTTGGAAAGGTTTAGAACAGTGTATGGAAACTTAATCTGGTTTTCACTCCTATTTATACTTTTCTGTCATACAGTACGAGAATTGTTCAAATTTGTCATGTCACCTTCAAAATATATCCTGACACTGGACAATATACTTGACATAGCTCTGATATTCATAACCACAATAGTTCTGTTCAAATCATGGGAGGAAGATAATCACAGGAAATTATTCACAGCATATTCCTTATTCCTGTCTTGGATTGAACTGGCATTAATAATTGGACGCCTTCCTAAACTATCAATTAATATTGAACTGATAAAATCTGTAGCAAGGCATTACATATTCTCGCCTTCCTAAACTATCAATTAATATTGTACTGATGAAATCTGTAGCAAGGCATTACATATTCATTTTTTTATCATACTTCTTGTTCATCATAGCATTTGCAGTTACTTTCTATATTTCCTATCATGGCAATGTGGCATATGATAGTGAGAATGAGGCATTTCCAACTCTGTGGACAGCAGTAACACATACAATCATGTTAATGACAGGTAGACTCTATGTGCCTTCTATTAAAGGCTATGGTTGCATCATATTCCTGTTATTTGCATTCCTAATTATTATGGTTATGCTGAATGTTCTGACAGGTGTAGCTGTGTCTGATGTAAAACTGATTCATGACAATGCTGAATTGCTCCAGGTGGTGTCTAGAATAAGACTTCTATATGAAATTGAAAGTATTTTGATATACTGGAACAGATTCATGGAGAAAATATGCAAGTTAAATTGTGCATCAAAGACAGCTGCATATTTGAATAATGCATTAAGAAGGATAATATTATTTCCAAACACAAACACATCAGAAAAGTATATAAGTGTTTTGCCCAATAAGAATGCTACAATAGTATTTCCAAATGGAACAAAATCTGTTACTTGTAGAATGAAACAAGAAATCCTACAAGCAGCCATAAATATTATCATTCAGCAAGATAACTTTACAGATTTAGACCACATGAGACAAAGTCTACATCACTATCATAAAGAAAATTTGCAAAAATTTCCTTCAAGCAGCAGTAGTTTTGATAAAATTGACAATACAATGACTGAAAATTGTAAGAATCCAGAAATGACTGAAGAGAATTTTAGTATGTTGCAAAATATACTACACAGGAATCATAAATATTTAGATACAAACATGAAGAAACTGTCAGAACAATGTCAGTTACAACTAACCCATTCATAAAAAGAACTTCAAGAGAAGTTTGACAAATATGAACAAATGTTCAACTCAATTGAACAGTCACAAAATCAAATCACAGATCTACTGACAAAAATACTAAACGTACTCACCTCACGAAATGACAAAACAATGTTTTGTGATGTAACACCTGATATGTAAATTAAGATAAGGATGGGCACAAAATGTTAACTCCAGAAACAAGACATATGAAGAAACATTTAAAAGAAAGGTACCCCTTACTGCAGATTTTAAAAATAACTGAAATGTGTAGTAGGTCAAAATGATTCCCACCTGGAAGCTAATTACAATTTCCATTATCCAGTTAAGAAGTGCATAAAAGTATATACCAGTTTTCAGTATTTATGATTTTGCATTTCTTATTTGACTTGATGTCAAATTTTCTACACAAAACTGTATTGTTTACCAAACTAAATAATAAAGATATGACACTACATAGAGGCATTAACAAATTTTTCTTTGTAACTGATTAAGTGTAAATCACATTGAAATATGGTGCAGGAAAAAATATGTAGACATTTTAGTGATTACTATGATAACTGAATATTTTTAAGACAAGCTAGGACAGGGAACAAATATAAACTAAAATGAATTTCACCTCACAACCTTTTAGGGCAGAGCAGATACCAAATTAATAAAAATTCTTTATGCAGTTTGGAAGGTGAAATATGTCGGATTGATAGAGATGAACATATAATCTTCCTTTCATGCTTTCATTTGATTAATTTTGTGCTGAAACACATAAATCTATAACTACCAGTAAGAAAGAAAAATGAGTAAACTCCTTAGGTCAAATTGTGAGCCTTGTAACTGTAACTTCAAGATCCCTTACTCTTTACTACTGCGTCCTGCTTTTCAACACCCACTTTTACTCATTTCTGGCAGAAACGCAGAAGCAGCATGGAAATAAACAAAGTAAATAAACCTTAAATGTCAAATGCACTCTAAATTTCACATCTACTGGAAATAGCTGCTTGGAAGACTGAAAATGGATGAAACTCTCTGAGGATTATGTTCAATGGTAGGTTGCAGTATCTCAGGTGTTAAATCTTCATGTGTTATTACTAGTGTTAGTACATAAGTATCAGGATTGTGAAAATTATTTGTGTTTTTAATCTCTCAAAAATCACACAAATTAAGTATGGTGTAATGTAAATATCCAAAGATGGGATAAAATCAGGTTAGTGCACCAGATGTATTAATACACACCTTACTAAAGGACCAAAAAACATGAGTCTTCTGTGGGTCTGGAAGAGATGGTTGGCTCAGCACACTTTGGAATGCTGTTTGGAGTTCATAAATTGACAGTGCATATGCTTCATCTGAGATAAAATGTAGTCCATATCTAGAAAGTATAACAAAATAGATTTTCAGATGTTCTAGTGTGAGTGAAATATACTTTATGGGCCAGTCCATGTCTGTCTGTCACACATTTTGCAAGAACGGTACTAGATCCCATTATTGTAATCCACTAATGAAACAAGGTACCTAAGGACCCCCACCATTTTGAACACACTGCTACATAAAGAAGAGATACAAGGGTGTCAAATGTTGACTGAGCTACCCTGCTCACGCAATGAGTCTGTAGAAACAGAAAATCCAATCAAATTCATACTGACCTATGGCACACCTCCATTAGTTGCAGCACCAACTTAGGGCCATAAACTTCCCCTAGAGGATTATTGGGGTTCACAAGAATGCCTTCACTGTCCTCCCTCTTGTCCATGCTCTGTAATGGCAGATTGTAATACATCAGCAGTAAGCTCAAATGTTATGTCTCTCCAATACTGATCCGAAAGAGAACAAGTAGTAATGTTCAACATAGTATTTTTTCATCAAAAGCAAATTGAAAAACAAAAGAATTTGCTACTTGTAAAAAGTATGTATGTGTATATATATTTATCACTGCTATGAAATTAGCAAAAAGTAAAAAATCGTGTTAGTGTTCATTTTTACCAGGAAACTAAATGTGATAAAGTGCAAGCCGTCAGAGAGACAAGACATAGTATGTCTCAGTACCATGAACTATTAACAACATAAATAGACCTAACCTAACCTGAACGAATTCATGTGACCGAAACAGCTTATTTTTTCTCAATCAAAGTTTGTGGTCGATAGTGTGAACGAAACACAATTACACATTCAAAATATAAGTATAAACTTAAACTCTGACCTACAGATTAAGCTCCTTAATAACAACCACAAACTAAGCCACAAGCAAATCTCAAATTCTGATGATTGGGAACATAGCGCCGTGCGTATTGTGCTGCGACCTGTGAGCGATTTACAAATAGAAACAACGATGACGTGACAGTAGGCAAGTAGGTAAGAAGGTTAACTACTCTTCAACCTTCAAAATTCCTCCTCATATCAAATATTTAAATAATTTATTTGTGTGAAGACAACATTCAATACTACAATAAAACCTGCATATCAACATGCTTACGTGAAGTGTGATTAGTGCTCTTACCAATGTAAATCAGGCTTCCCAACCACACCTCTTGTCCTATCCATGCGCGCTACATGCCCAGCCCATTTCATTCTTCTCGACTTAATCACCCTGACAATATTGGGGAAGGAGTACAGATTTTTAAGCTCATCATTATGGAGTTTGCTCCATGCCCCATCGTCTTCCCTCTTAGGCCCAAATATCCTCCTCAACACAACAAATAACTATGGAAGTTCCGCACAGACTAGATTATTTTTTAATATGTGAAGATTCACTAACTATAATTCACATAAGCAATATCTACAGTACGCTATTTATTTACTAAAGCTTCAGTACATAATCGGATATATCAATGATAAACTGATCAACTTAGCCCTACGCATTCATAACGCATCATGCATGACGCTTAAACGCAGCTGCATTGATGGGGGCCTTAAATGCGATTCAGCGAGTTATTCAATACAGTTCCATTTAACCAAAACATTATACAACCAAAGGGAAGAACTAAGATTGACAGCGTTTGAGGAAATAACAGGAACGTAACAAGGGGCTTGATAATTGTACTTTTAACAAAACTTTATTTGGATCATCAACATAAAGAATATGTGATTGCATACAACCTGAGTGTAAAATCCCTGGAATGTCCTGGGCAATGAACCTCAAAGAAAAAGTGTGAGGGTGTAAACTGAACTCAAATGGACACGTGTCAGGGTACGTGGGGGCCTCTTATGAACACTGTAATGAATCCATGGATTCCATGACGGCGGGAAATATCTATACAAGCCGGACTACTACCATCTTCTCAAACAGGACACTCTAGCTGCTACATAAAGCTACTTTACACAAATGTACGAATTCCGCGTTACATCTGTTAAGCAATGCCTTCCTTTCACACACGTATTTCCACTGAGAAAACTAGTAACATGGAGTCCGAACCTATGTCAGAGTTATCACCTTTCTTGCCCCGTAATCAAAAGATGTATGATTCGAAACCAGGCCGAAATATACAAGCCGAGCAGCGGTAACGAGGCTTACTTATAAGATGGAGATACCAGGTTCGAATCTCACCAGGAACGCCGGATAAGAGGACTGAACTTTCTAATGGTTCTCCAAGTAACTGCAAAGGTGGCGCCTTGAAACATTCATCCATTTATCTTATAACTAACAACTGACTGAGTGATACAAGATAATGCTTGTGGAAATGTTATTTAGCCACTTTTTCAAACGCCCTTCATTCGATCAAATCTCATGTGCCAGTTAAATATAGCCCGCATCTTACTACGTCACTCAGCACAGGACCTTCCTAGATCCATTTTAATATTATCATTTCATGCACACTAGGTCTCTAAACTATTCTCTTTTTCCTAGGTTTTCCGATCAAAATGTATGCATTTTTCATTTCCCGGCACCTACTATCCACCCCGCTCATGTCATAATTCCTCCATCAGTCACTTTAAAAATACTATATGAAGAGTACGAATTATCATCATGCAATTGTCTCCATCATCCTGTTGATTCCGCACTCTTAAATCCACATATTCGTGTCAGCACTGTTTTAGTCGAAGACTCTAAAAGTGTTCTAGAAATATTTGTGATGGTTGTCTATTGAAGCGTAAAAAGAGACGGGAGGCCAAGGCAGGAACACTTGAGACGTTCTCGTCTTTTCTGTCAGTGAAGTTCAGAGTGCTTGTCTGTGTGTCACTTAGAACAATAGAAACTCTGAGAAGACAAGCGAGTGTCTAGAAGATACACAAAAATAACTCACATTGACAGATGTGGTCGAACCAGCTTTTGCCTCTGACTTGGGCTACATAAAATGATACAGTAGCGACTTTGTGCGCCATACAGGATTTGTATTGTCCGTAAATGTTATCAGCGGCCTTAAGTCTTAAAAAAGTATACATTTAGGAGTATTAGAAACTATTCATAGACAAAAACGATATCTTATACTTTATAAATGCGAACAAAAGCCACAATTTTCATTGCGAAATGCTAAACTTCGACTACTTACATGGATCAGTTCCCTTAACCTTTTCAGTTAATGGCCACTTCTCTAAAATTAACATTGTGAAAAAAATTACACTCAATCAACGAGCTAACCAACTACACAACTAATTATATAAATGATATATTAACATTATGGTAACGGAACTCTAAGGTTCAATGCCGATAACAACCAAAATCCGGCAATGGACACGGACCTCAGCCAGCTCAATCCATGCACATGCCTTACTTCCCTGAGATTCATGTTCATGCTATCCTCCCATCTCCTTCTAGCTCTTCAAACATATTCTATTTGAATGGCTACTTGGAATACTGCAAAACACCAAAGAAGTACACGTGGTAACATTCTCTTACCACTTACAAGTTTAAAATTTCCTGGATTATGATTTTGAAAGTATCGGTAAAATTTTAAGCAGGGTTATTTTAAGAACTATTACATAGCGTGTTTATTGTCGGTATTTAGTACCAAAACAAGAAAAACATTTGAGTTCAATGAAAACTATAAAAAGATGCCAGTATAATTAAAACCCAATCATCTGAAAGAGGGAGTAGGACCATCTCACTCATTATACCTCGTACAATGGCCAATATCCAACATAAATTTCGGTGTACTGGAGCTGCTACTGACAAAAACATTTACAGGGATGTGTGGTGTTTTCTGCTTTAACAGTGTCAAATCTTGCTGTAACCTCTCCCCCAAATCCTAATGGGGTTAATTTTCCTGTGGGCCTACATAAGCTAAGGCACATATAACGGAATGCAGATTTCAAAGGTTATAATAGGGATAAAATCGACAGTATGAATTTCAGTCCGTATATAACTGCAGGAAAGAGTAGAAGACGAAGTGTATAAGATCCGAATATAACACTTCCTGAAGAATAAAAGATGGAATAAACATTAAGTCACGTGCGAAAATAGAAGCAATTGTGCTAGAAGCAAATCGATCAGAGTCATCAATCATCTGAAAAAAGAACTTTCAAATGTCCTGTCTTCACAGCCATAGTCCGAGGACAAAGTAAGATTCTGCATAATATGAACTGCTTCGGAGACCAGACATCATCATTTATATACAACGTACCATTTCCTAATTTAATATTCTACATAATTTAACATTTTAACGCAGTCTGTAACTTATAGAACGTTCCATGAATATCTGAAACTCCTGCTACCTTCTCGATCCACCTCGTCCCTCTGCATCGCTGATACGGGCACGATATCCAGAGGTTCTCTAAATATTTTTCATATTCTTACCACGCAGAGCTCAATAATTTCTTACTGCAAGAGTAATATATGTACTGAACGCACCCATTGTTGGTGGTTCGATGGATTTTAGGATTCTGAAGTATAAATCACGAGGTTTCAAGTAAAGGTGGGTCAGACTGGTCGGCACATAGGAAAAATGGAAAATATGTAGACGTAGGCGTAGATGGCATGATAATATTAAAACGGGTTTTAAAATAATGTGTAAGGAATTCATCTGTCTTAGAATAAGTTCTTCTGAACACATTAATGGATATTCGGCTTTCATAGAAGGTGAAGAATTTATTGATCGGTTGAGTAAAATTATCTTTTTAAGAAAGATTCCGCTCCACACAGTTAATTATTAGAAAATGCTAGTGGATTTCTAGAGCAGGGGCGATTACTAATTTCCATAAGCACTAAAACACATTTAAGTTAAGTAACTAACCGTTCTTTACATTTGTAATGAGTTTAAGCTTTTAATTCCGTCCGGATCTGACATAATGGATGGAAGGGCCATTAAACATTTGTGTTATGTCCAAGGGAGAGTTTCTAATTTAATTCCATAATTTCGAAGTGATGTTAATTTACACGTTGATGCATATATTCAAAGAAACATCGAGCATTTAATCACGAAGTGTCATAGGGAGCGCTGAAAACGTAGGTGACACAGGAGTTTCAGAGATAACAACACCCACAGGACAATTTTCCCAGCACGACTTTGTCTGCTGCAAATCAACACGTGTTCTCAAACTCCAGTTCCTTGTGGTGGTACCACTGGCAAACTATTGCGAACAGAAACGAAATGGAAATCGTTAAGTAATTATATTCACAGTCGGCGACGAAATGAGCGGGGCGGGGAGGGGCGGGGAGTGGTAATGATCAGAAAAGACAAGTCTAAAACTTCTTGACGATGGTGAAGAGTCAATTGAATAAAAATTTTCTTGGATATTATCCATCGTCTAGTAAATATAAAACGTAAAACGACGTTTCGGAGATGGGACTCTATCTCCGTCTTCAGGTTCCTACACAGTTGG